TGAAGAAGGGCTGGGAAATAGTTCAGTGGATAGAGTTCAGATAAAGGTGCCTGCCAACAAGCCTGATAACCTGAGTTCAACCTCTAGAAATCACATAACAAACAGCCATCAGTAGCTCACACCTGCAATCCAAATACTTCTATGTTGAAATGGAAGAAAGAGACAGGAGAATCTTCAGGAAGTTTGTTTAACACAGCTGCAGAAACAAGAGACCCTGCCTCAAAGGCATCAGAAGGATATAACTAACTCTGTTGGGGCCTATTTAATCACATTGTGTGAAGATGTTTGTTGCTGTTTTACCTCACCTGCTTAAGGCACCTTCTGATTGGCTTAACAAAGAGCTGGATGGCCAGTAGCTAAGCAGGAGAGCATAGGCAGGACTTCCAGGGAGAGAGAGAGAGGAACTCAGGAAAGAATCTGAGATGAGGGGATTCTCCAGCAAGATGTGGAGGAAGTCAAATGTACAGAGTTGAAAAGAAGTATGGAGCCACATAGCAGAATGCAGATTAATATAGAGGGGTTAATTTAAGTTTTAAGAGCTAGTTGGGAACAAGTTAAGGTCAAGCTTCCATAATTAATATGTCTCTGCATCATTACTTGGGAGCTGGCAGTTCAAATAACGAACTGTCACATAACTCCTGGAAAAGCTATCTTCCAATCTCCATACATGCACTGTAGCATGCAGGTGCCCCACTCTATCCATTGGGGGAAAAAAGAAAGAAAACCAAATAAACAAAAAAGAAGTTTGGTGGAAAAATGGCCATTCATCCAAATAATCTCATTACAGCATGCATAAAGTGTTGGTCTTTTTTTGTCATTAAGTTTAAGGATGCTACAACTATTTTATGGGAAAAAAATCTGTCCCAGAATGCAGTGCTATATTTTACACAAATATATGTATATAGATTTACATATTTATTTATGGCAAGTGAGTATGCCTATATGCATATATGCATACACACAGAAGCACATGTCTGTTAGTTCTATGAAACATGGGCTCTAGTGATGCCAACACCAGTTATTCATGTTTACACAGGTGGGCAAGAAGCTCTCTTTTCTTTGTTAGAACTTAAGTAGATGATGCAGTATTAATAGAAGTGCAACAGTCATGTGGACGGACAGAAATATTCTACAAGGCCTGTAAGTGCCTGGGCATTCTCGAGGCTGCACTGACAGTCATTCCCTTGCCTGAGGCTTGGCTCCCATCAGATGTAGCAGTTCCATTTCTGGGATGACAGTGACAGGTGCCAATTTCTGTCAGGAGATCATATGCATGCAGACCATCAGCTCCTCCAGAGCCTTGGGAGGGTAATTTTAGGCATTCTTTTTAAGGGAAGTTATTTATTGCAAGGAAAGTATCATCTACCTATAAATGAACCACTCCTCCCTCAAAAGATTAACATAGGCTGCCCAGGCTCAAAAGTTTGGCTCAGGTGGAATAAAAATTCAAGCAAATCAATAACTTTAAAATTTCTGAAAAGGATATTAGGAAGCTTGTGCATATTTTGCTCATCTGGCAACAGCTTTGATTGTGGCTAAAAACCATGCAGAAACCCCATCGAAATGGCAGAGAGGGAGGGGAGTAAAGAGATTAGCTTTATTTGAAGCATTTTCTTGAGGGGGTGGGCAAAGACTTCATAGAGTGGAAATTAAAACACACATACGTTACTCTGTGGAGACACCAGCATTGGAATCCAGTTTCTCTATGTCAAGTCTCTCTCTCTTGACATCAGAAGGCTTTCTTTTGCAATCAGAGCCATCCGTACCAGAATGATGTACTTGACCCATACAAGGACCCCTGCAGACCCATATTTCAAGTCTTTTGATGAGCAACTCAAACCAGTCTGCATATGGCCTTACAATCCTCTTCAAGCAAACAATTCCTGGGAAGAGGGCAGCTTTCTTAGAGAAACAAAAGAACGTGGTAAAAAGACAAAGAGATGGATGGGCACATCCAGGTCATTGAGAGGTGTGGCTGAGCCTCTGTTCTAGTGAGAAGGCTAGCAACCCCTGCAGAATTCACTGTGTGTTTAATGATGGGTGCTCATAAAATTGCTCCCTACAAGAAGGTAAGGATAGGATATAAAACATAAAAAAAAAAAAACAACCCAACAACATGGGTACAATGGTTCGGCTAATATCCAACTTGTTGCTTGAACAGGGTTATGCTCTTGGAAAGAAAAACCTAACTCAGATTGAGTATTCCATGCTTCAGGAGGCTGGGGCTGGGATAGAGTTAGATTTTCTTATTTTTACTCTTTGACCTTCCAATCTACAGAAGATTACTACTTGTTCTTAGAAGCAAGCTATGCTATTTTAAATTGGACAAAGTATAACATTCTACCTAAGTCAACATCTAATTAAAATGTCCTTCCTGTCACCTCTCACCAGATGACCTTAAAACAAGGAAGGCGGCATGATGTAACCCAATGTGAACGTGGGGACGGTTCTGGAGCCAGGTAACACTGGGTCTGAATCTGGACCCTGCAGTTTGATTAAAGGTAACCTCTTTTGACAGCCTATTCTGCTGCAGCAATGTGACAATGATACCCACCCATGCCCTTTTGGAAAAGAAATCTGTCTTCTTTCTTTTTTGCTTTTCTCCTACAGCACGATTAAGGTCAATGAGAAGAACATATGAGTTTCCAGAACACACTTTGGGCTGTTTTCTGAGCAGAACAAAGGAGGCTGGGTAAATGTCCACTCTTTTCTATCTTTCGAGCTCTCTCCACAAGAACTGAGCTAGACTTTGGAGTGGCCACAGCTTGCTGGCTTTCTTTTTTGGTCCACTCTTCATATGCTCTATTCCTTTTGGTAGTAGAAGTCGGGCTTAAAAGCTGTTCCATTATCTAAGGGTCAGTGGCTCATCCAATTGGGGACCAGACAGTGAGGCAAACTGATTTTCTGGCTGGTCATATCTGGGTCTGTTTTTTCCTTTGTTACGAACAACTCTGCTCTCAGTACCATTTACTTACAGAGCGCTAGTGAGAACCTGCCATTCAGCTATCAGTATGACACACTGACAGACAGCTCAGCATAGGTTAAAGAACTCTCTACAGGGTGCAAACCTGGGCATTTTCTAAGGCCTCTAAATGCAGAATCTCAGGTTTTCTTCTTTGGATGACGATTTTCCTTGGGGGACCTTTTATGAGGCACAGTTAGGGGTAAGATGAAGCTCATCATCAACATGACACCGTGATGACATGATGTCATCAACATGACACCCTGTGTAATGGTCTTCCACATCAGTAAGAGGATTACATAAGAAAATATGGACAAATACTTTTATTGTGCTCCCGGCCACTGAGTAGCATCTGAAATCTGATGTAAAATACAATCTGGCATTTCCTTTTTCTACCACCTATACAGCATAGGGTAGAAACTCTCCCCCAAACCAGGCATGACCAATGCAGTGTATCAGAGAGTAGGTTTGTCTCCAGGAGAATGATTCTGGAAGTGAGCAGTGGGCTGCTGAGTGCGATCTGCACACGGGATTCCAAGACTTCTCTCTACTTCATGCTATAAGCTACAATTCTGCTTCATCACCCACCAACAGAACAAGAGAAAACAAGCCAGGAAAACTCTGCCAGGTTTATCTATGATTCTTCCTTAAATCTTTACAAATGTGAAATTTTGAATTTATGTTCTTTTTAAGATGATGATTTGCAGGCTTTGTGCTTTCTTGACACAATACAGTCTTTCCATAAAAAAATAATGGTAAGTCGTTATTAGTCATTTCCTGAAGTCAGGATGCATGGGTTGATAGTTAACATCAGCAACTCTACCATGGTAACATACTCTCCTTGTCTGAAGAGAAAATGAAGTTAAGAGAGATATAGGGTCAGATGGTGATAGTACACACCTTTAATCCCAGCACGTGGGAGGCAGTGGCAACGGATGTCTGTGAATTTGAGGCCAGCTAGAGCTACACACAGAGAAACATGTCTTGAAAAACTAAAAATGAAAGAGAGAGAGAAAGAGAGAGAGAGAGAGAGAGAGAGAGAGAGAAGAACCTACCTATGTATAGGAACAGGGTTTAGTAAAGCAAAATCTGCATATTGCATGGAAAGTATGGTTGCATTTGAAAGGACAGCAAGGGCTTTTCTCTCATAGCATCTGCGAAAAGGATGCACAAGGGGTTTTCTAGGAATCCCTGCCAGGAGGTGGGTTTCCCCTTGTAACTCTCATAACACTGGCCCTGACACCAAATGACTTATTCAGAACACAGTAGAAATGTGACAGCCCACTGTATTTAGGGAAGAACCATCCAGTTCAGCACAAGAGTCTTCCTGCTCAGGACTGACAGTCTAGTGCAATAGGAAAGCTCTTGGGCCAGGAGACTTTGCTTTTGATTCTGGTTTGGTAACAACAGCTGTGGATTCCTGGCAACAACTACAGATTAAGGAAAATGCTAGGATTGTACACATACCCTAAAGGTCACTGTTACCACACTGGGATCTAGGCTGTTCATATACTGTCTTATTTATTTAGGTCATTTACTCTCTGTCATTTCTTATGGCTACATGAGTTGTACGGTATCGGGTATGCAGTTTGTATATTTCACCACTAATGTCCAGAAATACTGCCAGTAAACAGAATGATCTGTGTACACTGTACAGCATTTCAAGGGAGTGACTGCTGTTAGTATTGTTTTAGGGCATGACAAATGGATTTTCAATTAGATACTAACTTTTCAATAATGGTAATAATATCATCCTACAAATGAGTCCAGACAGGCAACATTCAGGTTCAAATCACGATTCTGTTCCAGTTTTTGGTTCTTTCCTGGGAAATTGTTACTTGGGTTTTACCCCACCCCCCCGTGACATCTGATATCAGCATTTAAATCACATGAAATGAAGATGGTGAGGTTTCATTTCTTGTTTCTAATTTTTCTAACCTCCAAGAGGGTTTCTTGGTTTTGCTGATTATTCTGCAACTTCCAGGTTCTCTCCAGATGTGAGCAAAATTGCTTACTTGGTTGAGAGGCTTGTACTCACTTGATGAAGTACTTGATTCCATCTGCTGTGTAAGCTTCCTCCCACCCGTAAGGTAAGCCTAGAGTGAAAGGAAACCAGAAATACATTTAATAAGATGATGAAGATAACTTTATTTTCTGGACACCAACCTCCCCCATGCTGACAATTATCTGAGTGCATTTCCTGCACAAAATTATTTTCTTGAAAGGCAGAATTAAGACAATTCAGATGAGCTCTGGCACTCAGCATCTTACGACGCAATAAATAAAGTCCTGAACAGTTAACAATCTGCTTTAGCAGCAATAACTGGATTATGACTTATCATTTACATGTGGTGAACATTTTTGTCAGCAGGATTCACACAGAAATTGGTGTTTGCAGCGGATGGTTCTTGCCCGGAGGCAGAAGGATGGACAAGATGGCCTCTGCTTGTCTATTCTGGCTCAAAGTTTCTTTAATTGGCTCCCTTTGCATTCCTTCACTCAGCTCCACAGGGAAATGGGCATGAGTGCCAGATCAGCAGGGGTTTGAGAAGCAGCTTTTGGACAAGACAAGATTCCTTATTAAGTTTGAAAGTTTAGTAAAGTGATTTACAATGGATGGTGGCATTTTCTTTGTTAATTAAGAATTTTGTGCACTGACATAAAGGGCCAAACAATTTTCTAAACTTAGCTTCCATTTCTGTAATGGGATTGAGAATAGTTAGCTAAAAAGAATGAAGTAAGCAGGCAACATAGGGGCATATTCTATATAGGAGTTCTGCTCTCTCTCTCTCTTCTCATTTAATATCCATTTACTGAGGTTTCAACCCACGGCTTATGCATCCACTTATTAGTGTTGTACTACTGAGCTACAATCTCTTCGTTTTAGGGGTAAGGTCTTACTAGATTGCAAGGTTGGACTTGGACTAATTCTGTAGCCTAGGCTTGAGATCCTCTTACTTCAGTCTCCTAACTAGTTGGAATTAAAGGTCTATGTCAGTGGGCATTTTCTTACATCTAGATTGTGGGTAGCATCTCTTTAGACTGCAATGGTTTCTACCCATTCTGCTCTATCACTGGGTTATATCTTATATATTGCTATTGCTAAAAAGTTTAACTGACCTTTCCAGTAAGCTCTATGACACTGGGTTATCACCGCCCCTTTGATGGGTATAAGATACATTAATACATTGAAAAAAAAAAAGGGTTGCATTACTCAGGTAGCCCGAGTCTTAACAACAAATACTAGACTTTTATTCCTTCAGGTATCAGCAAGGGGGAGAATAAACATGCAGGGAAAGCTTAACAATATGGATAAAATAAAATTTTGCCTTATTACTATTTTAATTCTTAGAGAATATATTTCCTTGAGAAGAGGGCATTATGGTGTGTGTGTACGCATGAGTGTGAGTTTGTGTGTGTCTGAGTGTTTAAGAAAAAGAAACAAAAGACTTTAATTTATATTGATTCCAGTCTGGAACTGTAGGTCAAAATTTTATACCTATCTCTCCCATACATCAACAAAGCTATCCTGGGGTCTCTACCCTCTCTTCATGAATATATGTCTACTTTTTGTAGTGGTCAGAGTTTCTGATAACTCAGTACAAGCAAAGTTCTGGAGGTGACATCCCGTGACACAGGAAGTGATATCTCGTGCATGTGTTCTTTCATGTCTACCGATCAGCCATGATACACTGTTACTGCCCTACAAGACTGCGTTGATTTATTTTTCTCTCTACACTTTCTGCACTTTTTTTTAAAAAATAGCTAAGTTCATCTGACAGTGATGAGGCCCTTTCCCTCCAAGTAAGACTGTGACTGCGAGGACCTGGCTTATATGACAGAAGCACTCTGATTAGTTTTTGGGAAAAATAGCAAGCTACTGAGGACGTGGAGAACTGTCGTAATGTGACTAAGGTTTTTGCTTGCTAGGTGAATTGTTTGACTGGCACAATTCCATCTGTTCCTCCAATTCTTGGAGTAACAGGCATTTTTTAATGAAGTAGAAGAAAGAGGTACACTTTAATGATGGTCTTTTTTATTAAAAAGTTTTAGACTTTATCATGGTTTGTGTGTGTGTGTGTGTGTGTGTGTGTGCGCGTGCGCGCGCGCGCAGGATGCGTGTGTGTGGGGGGGCTTGCACACAAAGCATACACTGAGGTCAGAGGCCAGCTTTGTGGCATTATCTCCTTCCACCTTTATGTGGGTTTTAGAGGCTGAACTCAGGTCATTAAACTTGCATGGGAAACCCTTTTACCCACCAAGTGACCTTGTCAGCCCCAACATGATCAACTTAAACATGAGCTGGCTGAGAACTCATTTTCTGAGCCCTAAAGAATACATTTATACCACCCCTTTAGACACAAGGGATATTGGAGAAAAGGATACAAAGACTGTAAGAGTTAGATAGGGAGAACAGCTACAAAAAAGTCGCTTTCTGGGAAGACAGAGTCAGTACAAGAAGAAATATGGCAGCGGTGGATACTTGCATTGGGGTCACATAAGAATGGTCCATCTACAATCAGATGTAAGAGGACTCAGGGAACCCTACCCTTCATGGTTGAGCTATTCACTAAGACAGATGAGGGTGGGGGTGTCACTGCCTTCTGTTGCATACCCACTGATGACCCCATCTGGTTCTAGTGGGCAGTTTTAATCCAGTGATAATACAGATGGCCCTAGTTAAACAAAAAAACACGCCAAAAGTCATGATTATAAGGAAAGGACTATAGGGAAAGGGGAGAGGTATTGATAAGAAAGGGGAAACACTAGATAGTGTGGGGAAGAGAATAATCAGAGTCCATTATATACATGTATAAGATTGTCAAATAACATGACTAATAAAAATTAAAATGATATTTTCTGCCATGAAAAACTAAGTTCCTAATTTTTAAAAGATCAGTTTCATAACAACATCATCTGTAAGTAGAACTGGGGACTAGGCCGTCATTAATCTCCCTGTAGTATCTCAGCAACAGAAACACAATCACTATCTAATGTAAAGACAGACATACAAATAGCCAACTTCACATGAAACAGCTCTTTTGGTATTTACAAATACATGATTATGATATAGTTGGTTTTCAATGGTAATGATTTTATTTATTCACGACGATGATTTGGAAGTAATTAGAACATAAATACTTTGAAATAATCATTATTGTTACATATAAAAATATAGTTATCTAGTTACAAAATCTTTACAGACTTGTAAATATACGATGTTTTTAATTTTTCTTTTCATATTTTTTAAAAACTGTTATTGACAGCTCCAAGCACCTTGCGATTGTTTCTGATTGAAAGGGTTTGTCTGTGAGTTCTCAGATAGCATTCTTTCTGCCAGAGATCATCTGTTTCTAATCATAAACTTCATGGTGACGACTCCAAAATCTGCATGAGTATCTTGCCAGAGTGAATGTCTGGAACATATTGAACTTAGAATCCTGGCTGTGCCCTAAAACTCAACATATACAAATTCAAACTCATCATGTATCCACACAAAACGATTTCCTTTGTTTCCCCAGAATCATCACCACAGATTCTCTGTTATGTTTCCCCAAGTACTAATTTATTAAGTATCTATTGATTACTATGTGTCCAGACTTTTGCTCGGGCGTTCAATACATAATGATGAAAAATAAACATGGACCTTGATCTCACAGAGCTTTAAAACTAAGGACGAGGATGTAGCTCGGTCAGTAGACCGTTTGCCTAGGACACCAAAGCCCTGGCTTTGTTCACCAGCACCACCGTATAAACAGGGACTGGGTGTGGTGGTGCACACCTATAATCGCAAGACTGGAGAGCTAGAGACAAGAGAAACAGGAGTTCAAAGACATGCACGGCAGCATAGGGAGTGTGAAGCCAGCCTATCTAAGACCATGTCTCAAATACAAACAAAACCCTCAAAAAACAAAACAAAAATGGCACACAACCCAAACGACTTGCCCCCCTCAATCATAAACAAGCACATAAGTACAAGAATAAGTTCAAGTAGTGTAGCGAGAATAGGACAGGTGAGAGAGGAACTCAGCTTCAGGACGGAGGACGAAGTGCAAACCAGTGAGACACTATCAGCAGGGCTTTCCAAGAGACTGCGGAGGGAAAGTGCAGACCTGGGTGAGAACACCGCAGGTAGATGGAGCACAGCCACATGGCTGGCACTCTGAGAATCAGGAAACTGCTCCCTCTGTACAAGCACAAAAAGATTCTGCTGGAAACATTATTACATGGAGATTTGCAGGCTGCAGCAGGATTGTATGGGACTCCCCTCCTCTTCTCCCTTCCCCTCTCCATGCTTCTTTTTTGAGACAGCTTCTCAAAGCCTTAGCTGACCTTGAACTGGAGAAGATGTGCCCAAACTGAGAGTGAAGGACCTGTAAGGGAATGCTGTCCCATTATACTTGTGGAAAGGCCACATAATCTAAAAGACTTTTTTTTTTTTTTTGAGATCCATCAAAGCCCAAGGTTTTTACCTGACTGGATTTCAAGGGAAAGTAAGTCCTGCAAGGAGAGAAGGTGCACAAAACACTCACTGGAGACAAAGTATTGCCAGGAACATGGCCAAAAAAGCAATGGACATTAATCCATACATCTGGGAGCCCTAAACACAAGCACAGTTGTCCTCCTCAAACAGTTCTTGCCCCCAAGACTTGTCAGGGATACTGTACTCATGATATCTCAGCAGTATGGCTGCATGAACAGGACGTGCATGATGGTAACACTAGCTGAAATGGCAATGTGGGTGGTGGGAATTTCACAAGGCCTCATCCAGATGAAGAGCTACAGTCAATGGGGTGAGAGCTATGGTCAAATTTTATACCTATGGGTATAAAAGTATGTATGCAGAATACAGCAATGCTCCCATTTGCTTGAATATCGTGTGCAGAAGGTGGGTGATTTCATTTTTTGAGGCTTGGAATCCTGTTAAATGATGTGGTGTAAAGAAGGAAGGCCAAGTGAGCTTAGGGGACTGTGAGAAAGACTGGAACAATGGACTTTTTAAATGGAGAGAGAAGACAAGGGGACTGGGAGCTGGAGTAGTAGACAGTCTTGGTGAGGATAATCACTGTGTAGTAAGCTTCAAAGAGTTTTGAGT